ACTACACCTCTAGATCAGGGACACCTAAGGACTACACCTCTAGATCAGGGTTTCCCAAACTTGGGAAAAAGTAAGAACTATTACCTTACGAACATGGAGGCATGAATGGGCTTTAGTGATGTGGTCAATTGTTTGCTGACTCTCCTATTATTTGCAGATTTAGCTAAGGGCCACGCATTACCAAAACACACTTCATTACCACGTCTTTTTTTGGTCCGTTTCTGTAATGGGAACCTTAATATCGGTAATGATAATAAGCTAATTCTAATGTATAGTCAATGGGTGTGCTGTGCTGGTAACTTCAATTATTTACTAGGACCACTGCTTACACCGGTTTGTATAGATTCTTTTGTAAAACAACAGTTCAATTGAGTACAGGCTTAACTGAATGAACAACATATACAGAATGCAATATGGAATTTTATTAAATAGTTTGGGGAATGGCAAGTGAGAGAACATAGGTAAGTTGACATATGAATAGATCCCAAGGTTTACATCCATTGGTTGAGAGGAAAGTGATAATTGCAAGAGTGAGCCCTTAGGTTAAACAGGAAGCGTGAGGAATGTGCATTATTGTGCCGTGCTTAAAGGCTATAAGGTCAATAGGAAAGAGGAGAAGAACAAGACGCTACATTTACGTCATGTCGCTATGCTGATGATGATGATGATGATATGTTTGTATTCATTCCCAATATGCCTGTATAATAGGAAACCGAGTGAATTATGTTATGCTGCTTGATGAAGTTAAACAAGCATTCAGATCAGTCTTCCTGATTTGAACTTTAGTAAACTACATTTATTTGATAGGGTTTTGTCAAGAAATATGGGGTGTATAAACCCCATTTAACTTACTTTAAGCCACAATCTGCAGTTTGTGTTTGAGCAAAGAGCAACCCTGCCACTTAAATTAGGATATGCCCCATTTTGACGTGTACATGTTTTAGCACTTACTTATACTGTTGTCTGATATCCCAAGCCAGTTTATGTTCCATATCCCACATATTTAGATACTTTACAGGCATATTGTGTTATGCCATTTTCCCATAGGATCCCATTCAATCCAGAAATACATCCACGTCCTAATACACCGATATTACCTTTAAACACCTTGGATAATTTGTTGCTTAAAAAAATTATTAACTTTGTTTTACGCTTACGTTCACTTTTGACTCTTGAAAATACATGCATGTAATTACAGTACTATACTGAAATAAGGGGTATTTTAGTAAATAGCATTAAGAGCAGTGATTTTAGTATTATGCAAGTCTGAATCGGGTTTCTGAATCTCTGATAGAGATCAGTACAGTTTTTCAATGGCAAACTATGCAACTCTCATTACCGAAACCTGCTCTTCGTTACTGTAATTCACCAATATTTAGGAAATATTAGCAAAAATTAAATGTATACTTTAGCAAATTTGGCTTAATCTGATTGTGACTTTTGTTATTTTATCCAAATATCTGTCCATAAAAAACAAAATATATTTTTTAAAATACAGGTATACACAAGTGATTTTTACATTAATGAGAAATTACAAAATACATTTTATTGATTTAATATTTAATATATTTTTCAGTTTTATGTTTAACTCAGGCTTTTTTATTAGGTGAGCATTGTTGGTTTTTTTGGTTGGTTTTTTTCAGGCCTCCTGTTGCTCAGTTGGTAGAGCATGGCGCTTGCAACGGCAGGGTTGTGGGTTCGATTCTCACGGGGGGGGGGGGGGGGGGGCGTATGAAACGTATGCACTCACTAACTGTAAGTCGCTCTGGATAAGAGCGTCTGCTAAATGACAAAAATGTAATTGTAGACTTTGAAAACTGTTGCAGTAATGATCATTTTTGTGTTGGTAGTTGTGGAAATAGTGGTAATGTAGGGATGTGACAAATTTAAAATGTTTCTTCATGTTTAAACTGCAATTTTTTTTAAATCTGTTTTCCCTTGAAATGATAAAATGTAATAGAATTCCACGTGAAATCCTATTGTGTGGTATGACCACTAGGGGGCAATGAAGTTCTAATGCAGTCTTGCCGAAGTCGGTAATTAAAGTATATGACCCTTTGGTGATTAGTCAACAGTAGGAATTCTTCAATTAAGTGTTTGTTGTCATTCAATGAGAGACTAATCATTTTCATGCACATTTTTTCACTTGAGAAATATTGCACCAAACATCTTAGTTAGATATCAAATTGCGCGACTAAAATCTCCTCTGCAAAAACATAAAAATGAATGACACTGCTACGGTGTCTCGAGATGGACAAACAGTACTATTGCCGCTTTTTCCTAGTTTTTCAAGGCAATGTATTCTAAGGGAGTATGTGAGCCCACTCGCCAGCCTTAAGGCAGGGTTGTTAAACTCATTCCATGGAGGGCCTAGTGTCTGCAGGCTTTTGTTATTTCCTTTCAGTTAAGACCTAGACAACCAAGTGAGGGGAGTTCTTTAGTAAATAGTGACCTTAATTCATCCATCAAGTACAAGGGAGGAGCGAAAACCCGCATACACTCGGCCCTCCTTGGAATGAGTTTGACATGTGCCTTAAGGCATCTGTAATCTGCTTTGTGGCTGCCCAAACGGGAAGGTGACATTTTGTCCCGAAGACAACCGTTAATTCATGTTGACGTTAGTATTCCTTCCATTTGTTATGTGCATAAGCGACTTACAACAAAAAAGAAACCTAGCCAAGTGATCAGTTCTTCTCCCTACATTCTCTTTTCCCTGTCTCTCACTCAATTTCGATCCGACCGCTCCCGCTACACGCGCGATGCACACCCAAGCTCCCATTAGGCCTACAGAAATAAAAATGTATCTAACTGATGGGATACACAAACAAAACTGTAGACCAGCTACATTCCTTGCCAAATCACGACAGCTTTATCACAAATTCAAAATGGACTGGTTGATTAAAGTACAGGAATATGTGTTCCAACCACGAGCTGCAGTTTTGGAGTAATAGATGCGTCTCGTTTATTTTAGGCTTTTTTGTGAACTGCTATAGTGTGCGGTTTAGAATAGGTTACAACCCCCCTCGGGAGGTTACAGACTGAAATATGCAACAAAGACATTGTTTTGATGAAGGCAAATAGCGTATTTATCAGTCTAGGGCCCTACTTTGTTTCATGTTTAACAAAAGCCTGCCCACCAATTCTAAGCTCACAAATCAAACACAGGGCAAAATAAAACATGCACTAAATGCGTGTATCTACTGGTTGAAAAGGAAATAATTTTAGCGTTCTAATGCTGTTAACTGTATGTCTCAACTCTCATTATAAAGGGAGTAACACCCTGTTGAAACGGGAGTAAACGGTGAACAGTGAGATTGATGAGAAAGACGCACCTGTTTCAGTAACACGAGTCGCGGCTCAAATGCCGCTTGCAGTCCATCATTTAGCAAATTACCGACCAAAAAAATAGGCCATTGACATTGGCTGCATATCAACTGCAGTTCATTTCTATAATCAGCGCCTTTTTTCCCCAACTGTTAATGACAGTGACGTGCGGAGAGCTTTATCAGTGGTAAATAATTAGAAAGACGCTCCATATCCCATCTTACTAACTTTACAACATCGATGCGTTAGGTAGGCCTATTTGTAAAAAAAATGTCCCTTCATGATGTTGATCGGGACCTGTGGTAGTTTTGCGATAACTGCACTGTGATTAACATTTTGTGGAGAAAAAAACAAACTTTTTCGGTTAGGGATTTCTTTTTACTTTAACGATTCAATTTCGTTTAAACATTAACTCCTCTAGTAAAATGCATATCTTATCAATAATCAGAATAATGATCAAATAAATAAGTACAGATCCTACATTTCGTGAAAAATGACACTTGAGATTTTTTTGGGTCAAATGTCAGTTTCGTAAGAATGACCCTTGTGTGGCCATCTCAGGTGACTTGGCCTAGCTATTCTCTTCAGTAAGAATGGATAACTGTCTCATATATCATGCCCACCATCAGTCCCACAGAACCACCGTTATAGTTACAGTTTAGTAGTCCATTGGCCTAGTGGTCCAGCAGCACAGAGCTCTCCAGTCTCTCCCTATTAAATATTTAATCACATCTGGGAGCCTGAAGCAAAGAGCAGGCAGTGTTCGTGTGTGAGCACACGTGTTTTCACCCAGGGTCATTTGAGTGAATGAGCGGCAAGGGAGAGGAGGAGGAGGAGAGAGAGTGTGAAAGAGACTGAAGAGAGAGAGGGACAGAGACAGAAGAGTGAGACAGAGTGAGAGAAAGCAGAAAGGGGGAGGGAGAGACCACAGAGAGAAAGAGAAACCAATAGGAGCGGGAGAGAGGAAAGATGAGGGAGCAAGGAGGGAAAAGGAGAGAGATAGATGTGTTTGCTAGGGTGTCACTAGAGGACCAATTAGTCTCTAAGTATTCTGGATGAGTTAGTTTAGAGAGAGCAGAGAGGTGTTTACTCCAACCCCCAAAAGCTACTTTAGCTGGGATGCAGCTGTGACAGAGGAACCAACAGATTAAAAAGAGAAGAGCCTCAGAGGGATGGAGAGCGATGGATGGACAGATCGTTTTAACCTAAATAGAGGATGTCAGTAATCAGGAAAGAGATGCAAGTGTCTGATAGAAAGGGGCTTGTGGGTATTTACGGCGCTTATCGCCCTGCAACCTTGCCAGTTTCGTCAGAATGAAATGTCACTCGTGATGTTACCAATGGTTCTAAACGCTCTCACACAAATGCGAAAAGAAACCAAATTACACATCCTCCCATAACCACCTCTATCGACACAAAACCCTATCTCCCCCTCCCAAAAACTTATCTCTCCCCCACCCCCCCCCTCCCCTCCCCTCTCTCTCTCTCTCTCTCTCTCATCCTCTCTCTCTCTCTTTCCCCCTCTCTCTCTTCCTCTACCTCAACCCCTTTACTCTCCTCCAGCGTACTGTATGCGTTGGGCCTCAGTACAGACCAAGAAGACGGGCGCGGCTCCAGTGGACTTTGCCCAGGCTAAGAGATGGGACCTGTCATGAGTGGAGTGTCGTCAGCGCATGATGGCCAGAGAGGAGAGACACGAGGAGGATGGAGGGAGGACCGTTTCAGACCCCCCTCCCCTCCACCCATCGTCCATTACTCAGACCACGAGTGTAGCCAGCTGGGGGACAAGATCAAAGGTGGGGCTCAATTTCCCAGGGCCTACACACATGCAGTACACACAAACCAAATAGAGATATAGAAACGTTTGCACACACACAGCACACAGACACATGCATGTTCTCACATACACACACAGTACAGAGAGACACGCAGAGAATGAAAACACACACAAGGACACACACAGAATACAAAACTCATACTTGATCAAGCTGATCAACCAGTACACAATGTACAGTGTTCCACTGTGGTCCTCCTCTGGGTTTAGTTTGGTTTGGTTGACAAATCCTCCTGACACACTGCAAAGCTTGATGTTGTCTATCCGTCTGAGTATGAATCTGTCTCTGGGTTTAAAGAAGCTGTAGACTCAAAAGCCCCGTCTGCCCAGTCTACTGCGAGATTGTCATTTTTTCTACTTCCCCAGAGTCAGATGAACTCATGGATACCATTTGTATGTCTCCGCGTGTAGTATGAAGGAAGTTTGAGGTAGTTTCGAGAGACAATACTAAGTAGAAAAACGTCTTAATTGCATAGAATCTCGCAGTATCCCTTTAAACTGTTTCATTATGTGCATTCGTGTGTTCGTGCTTGTGTATTTATATACAGTACTTAAAGATGGAGAGTGTAAAGCACTTCCCCCACTACTGTAATCTGCTGAAGTACATAAATATCCCCTTCCACCAATTGTACCACTTAAAGACTTCTGAATGTGAGGATTCCTGTGGAAAGAAGCTCAACATCATGTTTTTTGAATTAGTGATGAGGTTAGCAGACAGTTAGCCTCACTGCTATCTTAGCCCAAACACCTTGAGACGTTCTCCATTAACTGCTACACAGAGCAGTGTTGTTTTAACTGACTAACTCATGAATGTGGCTTCTCTACTTTCAGTTTAGCTGAGAAGCTGCTAGATGTGAAAATGAGGTGGACTGCCAGGCAGCATGTTTTAGTATCCACACATCTCTTCAACACATCCCTGTGCTTTTACTGTATGTGGGTGTTGTGAGTCTTAGGGACCTCATCTTAGGGGTAAAAGTACAAATAAACGATCACTGGAACTAAGCAGCCTGAACCATGAAAAACTGCCCCAGACCATTATTCCTCCTTCACCAAACTTTACAGTTGGCACTACGCATTGGGGCAGGTACTGTTTTCCTGGCATTCGCAAAAACCCAGATTAGTCCATTGGACTGCCAGATGGTGAAGCGTGATTCATCACTCCAGAGAACGCGTTTCCTCTGCTCCAGAGTCCAATGGTGGCGAGCTTTACACCACTCCAGCCGACGCTTGGCATTGTGCATGGTGATCTTAGGCTTGTGTGCGGCTGCTCGGCCATGGAAACCCATTTCATGAAGCTCCCGACGAACAGTTATTGTGCTGACGTTGCTTCCAGAGGCAGTTTGGAACTCGGTAGTGAGTCTTGCAACCGAGGACAGACTATGTTTACGCGCTTCAGCAGTCACGTTCTGTGAGCTTGTGTGGCCTACCACTTCGCGGCTGAGCCGTTGTTGCTCCTAAACATTTCCACTTGACAATAACAGCACTTACAATTGACCGGGGCAGTTCTAGCAGAGGAGCAATTTGACGAACTGACTTGTTGGAAAGGTGTCATCCTATGACGGTGCCACGTTGAGAAACTGAGCTCTTCATTAAGGCCATTCTACTGCCAATATTTGTTAATGGAGATTGCATGGCTGTGTGCTCGTTTTTATACACCTGTCAGCAACGGGTGTGGCTGAATTTCAAAGTATGCGGCGTCCGTCTCGCAACAGAGCCTTCAACCGCAAGGGGGCGTTGCGTTGTCACTCCGTTGTGGACGTCTCCATTGAAATCCATAACATCCGGCGCAACGTAAAACAGAGTGCTTATGGGTAATGTGAACGAGGACATCACCAGTGTCATTAACAATGAAAATCAATAACACTCGTCTCTTCACATCACCTTATCAGTCTACAACCCAAAACATGAATAATGCAAAACAACCGATGTTGTTCATACAAAGGCATTTGAAACATGATAGTCACATCGCTACCATCCACTGCCCTCTAGTTAACATTCAGAGCAGTACTGTAGAAGAGCCGGAGCCTGTGGTACCGTTTAGAATACATTTTAGGGATTTTATTAAAGATATCAATATTCTCTCCACTCCTCCCTCTCCTTCGTTCCTCTCCTCTCCTGCTATCAGCTTTGGGCTGAATGAATGAACTTGTTTCTCTAATGAGCTGTGACAAATCAAGGTCTCCACTGAAATGGGTTGTTCGCCAAAAGGTGTGACTTCCTGCTTCTCTGCCATCTCTGTGGCGCCTCTCTTCTCAGTTCTCTGTCAGGCCATGATAAATAGGACAGAATAACTTTCAAACCAGAGATCCTATTGAATTAATTGTTATTTAATTAATAAATGTATGTTCTAATTCCTAACTATGTTTCAAACCACAAATGGATTCATATCCCTAAACCCCTAACCCTTACCCTAACATGACATTTATTTTAGCCACTAATCATAACCTTACCCCTAACAAACCACTGACCTTAACCTTGAGTCTTACCCTAACCCTCTCCTCAGATGAGGCAGAGTTTGCGGAGGCGGTGCACGTGCTGCTGACCTGGGTGGAACGCGGTGAGGTGAACCGTCGTAACGCCAACAACTTCTACTCCATGATCCAGTCGTCCAACAGCCACATCCGCCAGCTGATGAGTCAGAAGGCCGCCCACGAGAAGGAGTTGGAGGCGGCCAAGGACAAGTTCAAGACCGCCCTGTCTGGCATCCTGGCACAATGTGAGTAAACACCAGGCTGACACACACAAACACACAGAGAACCATGTCTCACACAACAGGGCCAGGGTCAAAATCTAACCACTCGTTCCGTTCCCTTTGAGGCAACATCACATTGTCCCTCTAAACGTTCCCTACCCTCAAGTGCTAAAGGCCAGTGATGGCAGCAATAACACTGAACAGGTTATTTAGGGAGCTGTTAACTACCTCTCTTAGCCTGTCATCATTAGGCCCAGAGTGGCCACTTCTCTATCTCTTCTAGATTCGTCTCTCTATATACGGTCTTTGTACGGTATCGTCTGGCTCTCTCGCTCTCGCCTCTCTCTCTGCGCTCTCTCCTTTCTCTCGATCTCTCTCTCTCTCTCCTCTCTCTCTCCTCTCTCTCTCTCTCTCTCTCTCTCGTCTCTCTACTCTCCCTCTCTCTCTCTCCTCTCTCTCTCTCTCGCTCTCGCTTTTCCTTCCCGTCTATGTCTCTCCTAGTGATTGACACCTCTAACACCTCTGTCTGAGGAGAGCAACTGTCAGCAGATTAACTAATGAGGCTTTTAGGTACTGGTGCTGAACTCACTGTAGACTCGTGTAAAGCTGACCCTGGATCAGTCAGAACTATTAGACTACCTGGGTCAGGTAGGGACATTCAGATAGTACCAGTACCTGGGTCTGCCAGAGACGTTCAGATAGTACCTGGGTCTGCCAGAGACATTCAAATAGTACCAGTACCTGGGTCAGCCAGAGATATTCAGATAGTACCTGGGTCTGCCAGAGATATTCAGATAGTACCAGTACCTGGGTCAGCCAGAGATATTCTGATAGTATCATCCACAAAGTCCCAGTGCATATTAATATTAATTAATATTAATATGCCATTTAGCAGACGCTTTTATCCAAAGCGACTTACAGTCATGCGTGCATACATTTTTTTGTGTATGGGTGGTCCCGGGGATCGAACCCATTACCTTGGCGTTACAAGCGCCGTGCTCTACCAGCTGAGCTACAGAGGACCACATATCCCATCAATATTCCCATTTTGAGTGCCAACTAGGGAACTCCTGTGTCATGTCGCCTCTCTATTTATCTTGAGGCCGGGACTACCTTGGGGCATGTTGGTAGTCTACAGACGTAACTCTTGTCTGTCAGCTGTTCAGCTTTACCTCCTGTACATCAGGAGACAACATCCCAAAGGGAAAAAACATAGTTTTATAAACCTGCTTCAACTTGCGCTGTGGCAGCCTCTCTGTATCTCACAGCTGTGACAGACACTAATAACAAAGATATAATACAACTGTGTCACTCACATCCACCTGGGGGGAATAGAGAGATACATGTCTGAGGTTGCAGGAAACCTGTGATGGGTGGAGCTACCTTGCAAAAGGGCTATTTAAAGTCACTCGAGTGATCATTGAATGGCGATGATCTGTCATTGGGCCTTTGTGAAATATTGATAGCACATACAGTAACTTTTTGTACTAAGTACTCTTTCTATTTCATGAAACCTCAGCTTCAGTGACTCATGCTTCAGTGACACTTGAATATGATTGACACCAACACAATCGCCACACAGACAGAACACTCGCCACAGACATAACAATCGCCACAGATAATAACGCACACAACAAAGAAACACCTTTGATTTAACAACCCTTTAGCCATTTCTCACAAAAAGCATGCTATTGTATACCTCTTGTGTGTTGAACTAGTATTTAGGATCAATGTTTTTTGATGATACAGAAGGTAAGTTTGTTTTTGGCCCCACAAATACAGTATCTAGGGCTGCATGTAGAAATAGTCCAGTGTGATAGGTTCCCCAATGGTTGTGTTACATAGTTAAAGAGCCAGTTAAAGAGCTATCTCTAGGGGGCGCTATAAAGGTTAGCGCCCCACAAACTCCTGTAGTTAACTTTAGCCTGTATTGGTCTGTGGACAGCTGATCTGAAGGAACCCACTCAGCCATAGAATCAAAGTAAGTAACACCTCTCTACATGAAAACAACTGGAACTGAAGGGAAGAAATGAAATGAGTCATATTGATGATTGTAAAGGCCAAAAGGGGAAATGTAGAGCTGATCTGATTCACAACTGCCAATGCTAAGAGCATGTATGAGTTCAGATAACTTTGGTAATACTCCACCCACAGTAGTGTGCATACTGAGTAGTGTGTTAGTATGGATAGTATGGGGCGGCAGGTAGCTTAGTGGTTAAGAGCGTTGTGCCAGTAACCGAAAGGTTGCTGGTTCTAATCCCCGAGCCGACTAGGTGAAAAATCTGTCGATGTGCCCTTGAGCAAGGCACTTAACCCTAATTGCTCATGTAAGTCGCTCTGGATAAGAGCGTCTGCTAAATGATTAAAATGTAAAATGTAAAAATGATATTGGGATGCACAACATAATTGGTTCCTGTTTATACAGTAATACAAATATTAGAAAGAACAAAGTGGGTCTTTCTCTCTCTCTCTCCCTCTCTCTCTCTCGCTCTTTCTTTCTCTTTTTCTCTCTCTCTCCCTCCATGTTTCTCGTTGTCTTTTAAAGGCCACCATCCTCCATCACAATAATCAACACAAACACTTAGTGTTATTCATGAGTTTGTATTTCTCTGCGGTTCCACACATACAAATGTAAACACAGAGTTTGGTGTCCTGGGAGGCAGGCAGGTGTTCACACTGTCGTTCTGTCAACAAAAGGTGTCCCGGGAGGCAGGTTCACACTGTCGTTCTGTCAACAAAAGGTGTCCTGGGAGGCAGGTTCACACTGTCGTTCTGTCAACAAAAGCCACATCCATATTTACCAGGCTTTAGGCTTTTTCACAGCTGCACATTATATTATGAGTTGTTGAATAGTTATATATCGCTATGTTATGTGTGAGTACTCTGTCTGGACAATCTGTGATTATGTGATGCTGCATTATATCAACAGGTAGGTAAATAAGTAATTCTGACACGCTCACACACACACTAATTATGATAACGAAAAGTCTGTTATAAGACAATTAGCACATTCTCTTATCTACATTTACATTTACGTCATTTAGCAGACGCTCTTATCCAGAGTGACTTACAAATAGGTGAATTCACCTTATAGCCAGTGGGATCACCACTTTACAATGTTTTTTTTTGTTTGTTTTTGGGTTGGGGTTGGGGTAAGGGGGGGGTAGAAGGATTACTTTATCCTATCCCAGGTATTCCTTAAAGAGGTGGGGTTTCAAATGTCTCCGGAAGGTGGTGAGTGACTCCGCTGTCCTGGCGTCGTGAGGGAGCTTGTTCCACCATTGGGGTGCCAGAGCAGCGAACAGTTTTGATCCTTTCTCCCTGCTCTGGGTTCACACACTGAGGTGTTTTGGTAACTAATCTGGGGGTGGTTAAGACAAGGCTTTGCTGTCAATCGCAGGTGTGGTTAGGATGGAGTGATGACCAGACAAGTGTCTTCCAGCAGCTCTCCTCTAATCCTCCAGCCTTGAGCGCTGAATCAAAGTTGGACACCCTCTCGCTCTTTCTTAATATCTCTCTTCTCTTCCTCAGGGATAAGACCACCCACCATCTCTCATCCCAAAGTCACTCAGCAAGGAGACTCTAGATTCCCTCTTTCAAGTCTGATCGGATTTCTCACTTTCTGAAGGGTCTTTATTAATGAGTGGTCATTAGCGATACCTCCTATCTAATGGTATACAGAGATATTAAGATCAGCGCTCCTATCTAACCAACAGTGAGGACAGTAATGAAGAAAGCCAAGTTGGTCCCAAATGGCACCCTGCTCCCTATATAGTGCACTACTTTAGACCAGAGCCCTATGGACACAATATAGGGAATAGGGTCTCATTTCACAAGCAGCCCCAGTCTCAGATAGAAACATGCTTTTCCTTCATTAGGTCTCAACTCTACACTCTTTACACAGAGGCAGCCTTTGATTATGCCATTCCAAGCATCTGAGTGTCGATGAAGGTGAGAAGTGTTGTGGTCATTAAAAACAGGAGAGGTTTTAGAGGAAAAGAGGGTTTCAGTTAGAGGTAGATACTTTGATCTCTTTATAAGATGGCCTCTATGTCCCTCTTAGAGAATTCCCTTGTTCTACTGTCAGTCTCTACTGAGAGTCTATGTCCCTGTGGAGGAGAGGAGAGGAGGAGGAGGAGGTGTGTGTGTGCGCTTGCCCATTGTCTGGGGGGTGTGAGGGGAGCAGGAGCCTGCAGGTAGCAGTCTGGTCCTCTTGTTGCTTTCAGCACCGTCTTCTGTTGTAGGACGGGCGCTCTGTGGTCACCTTGAGAGGGGTAGGGTCCTTCTCCACCTCACCCCACCTCCCCCACTCTAGACACTGACCCAGAACAGACTGTACTATAGAGCAGAATAGAACATTAAAAACACATCAACATTAACATACAGTAAAGTGCTTTCCTACCTGATTCCACTTTCTCACTCCTCTGCTCCTTCCCACCCGCCCCCTCTCTCTCTGGACGGTAAACTGGCCCCTGCATCCCCCGCCACAGTTGAGCAGATTGTGTCTGTATTCCACGCTGCTTCCAAACAAAAGGCATGGGACCATTTCTCCAAAGCTCAACGCAAGAACCTGGACGTGTGGCGCAAGCAAGCAGAGGTTGGTCCTTTACTTTTTCTACACTTATTCACATCTTCTATTCATTTGGTGAAGTGCAGTATAGTCTACATATTATTGTGTCCTTTATGTGAGCATTATGTGAGCATCCCCATCTCTCCAGTATTCCGGCTTCTAACTACTTTTTGTGGAATTCATGGTGTCGTCTTGGCAGGATGATTTGTGTTAAACACAGTATTAAAGTAAACACCAGCTTTAAAACTACACTCAGCATTAGCCTACAACTTAGCTTAATATAAATGGTAAAAAGAACTGGTCCTAAAATGGAACCTTGTGGTATTCCTTTAGTAGTATCAAGGAACTGAGATGGTAGAACATCAACATTAAGTACTAGCCTAAGAGGTAAAGTAAATGCTAGAGCTAGGCTGAATGCTAGGCTACACCCAGGCTCTCTACCTAGTTCAGTCCCAGAGTGGGAGCTCCGGTCAGGTCCAGGTCCAAGCCAATCACCCCTCTCTCCTCTGAAGGGATTCCAGCCCGGTGAGTGCTCAGCCTCACTGCCAGAAACAGGTAACTCACCCTTTAACTCATCCACAGTACCCTGGACTGGTCTCTGTGCAGAACTCTTCATCAGACACATACTCTCTTTCTGTTATTACTGACTGACTGTGCTTTCTTCCAATAGATGAACAAATAACCAACTCTCATGTTTTGTTTGGTGTAAAATTGAGGTCATGCTCCATGTTGAGGTACACAGGTATGAACTAATGAAACCTGCCAAGATTTGTTCTCTGTATTTAGTTTGTTACTTCCCATCCAACAACCGCTGCATTAATTACCTCAAACACATTTTTCTCTTAATGGAGGGTGCTCAAGTGTGGCACTGCTGTCATTTGAGGGCCAAATGGGTAAGTTTGATCTGGGTAGAAATCTCTGAGGGTGTTAGTGTGTAAACAGCAGATTTGGTGTGTAATTAACAGCTAATCTCTGTCTCATAGCAACACTGAAAAGGTCACCATGGATCACAGGCTGGAGATGGTTAAGCTTTCCTTTGGAGATCCTAGTGCAGGAGATAGATTACAAACTAGTGGAACACATTCATTATAAACTGTTGATGCACGTTGCCTGTGACAGTGTGTAGGCATTCTGTAAAGTGAGAAGAATTTGTATAATTTGTATATGTACAGTGTCATATGTATGTGTAACTGAGGGTATGAATTGTAATGGGTTGGTAGCTGTGTGTTTGGGTGTGTGTATATCATGGTGGACTCACTCGGAGATATAGCAAGTGTGTTTGGTGTGTCCTGATCTCAGACTGTAGAGACTCTCCTGCTCTAAAGGTAGGTTCCCACAGAGATCTTATTGAATGAATAGGGATTGTATATGTAATTATATGATTAGGCCCCAAAAAAATGTTGGTGCACGCGCTTGGTCCCGTACGGGGAATAAATTAATTCTGCTTTCACCCCTGGATATAGCATATGTAATGAGACGGACATGTTTTACATCATACAGGTTTCTCTGATCAAATAGCCTAACCTAAATGGCGCCAAATCAAAAAATAATGCGTTGACATGTTAACAAACAACATATCCTAAATACAGGACAGGTCAAAGTAAAACATTTTTTTTGTCATTTAGCAGACGCTCTTATCCAGAGCGACTTACAGTTAGTGAGTGCATACATTATTATTATTATCTTTTTACATTTTTTTATACTGGCCCCCCGTGGGAATCGAACCCACAACCCTGGCGTTGCAAACGCCATGCTCTCCCAACTGAGCTACATCCCTATGGAATGGATAATCAGGCTACTCACAACTGCTGTCCAGGAGTTTCACCCTGTGGGCTAAATTGTCATGATCAGTGGTTTCAAGTTTGTATCTGTACATTTTTGACGAGCTGATTGATCATAGTGAAAAATAAAATACTTCTGATTTCCCACTGTAAACACATTGCAAATAGGTTCAGGATAACTTCTGATAAAATTTGGTAGCTGATATTCAGAGCTTAAATAGCCAAATTGATTAGTCACAAGAATCAGGACTAGTAAAGCCGATGCAACGGCTTGTTTTGCAAACGGTGGTCGTACCACATGGATGGGCATTCGTGAAATCCCATTGCGGGAGACACGGTAGGCTACACCCCAGTAAGCCAACGTATTTTGGATGTCTTTTTTTGGTCCTGTCCCGGACCGTCCGTCTTTTTTTGGTGTTTTGCAATTGCTGGGTGTACCACCATTTGCTACACCTCAGTAAGCACGGACCGACGCCGATGCCTTTTGAGCCGGCCTTGATTTCCATGTTGGTTTTTAGTCAGTTCCGGACCAAATCTGAATCAATCATAGACGTCTATGTTTGGTTCGGACCGGCCTTGATGTCAACGTCCACGGACATCATACATCTTTTCACCTTTCATTCAGAACCTAAATTGAACGTCTGGAAAATACATATTTTACACGTCTTTGCAACATCACACATGCATCACCTACTGTCAATGGACATCACCTCTGTGGTCACCAGGGCTATTCTGTGACTCTCTGACATTCATCTAGAGCTCTCTTATTGCCAGGGAGTTTATTTATAGGGGCCATTATTATAGGAGGACAGTGTCTTTCAATGCACAAAGACTGCTGCAATGTGTCACTGTGCTGTAAATGGAGAACAGGGATGACACTGTAATACAGGATAATAGTAGTACAGGTAATGCGTCATCGCAGTATAGGGTAGAAACATTTTTCCAATATGTCCCCCCCCCAAATTCCTAGGTTTTCCGGAGATCCTGGTCTGAGGATCCCGGATTTCCTACTTATTCCATCCTGATTCCAGGAATCTTCCAACCAGCATTTCTGGAAAACCTTGGAATTTTGCAACCCTACAGCAGTATCTTTCTTGACGGCCTATTCTGTATTTATCAGACAGGATGCACAGAACAACAGGACTGACAGACTGCAGGGGTTTCACTCTCTGTCTGACACTCAATCACAACACCCATCTTCTACCATCCATCCTTTCATTTATCCATTTACCTGTTCCGATCCATCAATCCATCCATTTAGCCATCTATCCATCAACCCAATAACACATCCATCCATCTCAGTCTGCATCCTAAATGGCACCCTAATCCCTATATAGTGCACTACTTTTGACCAGATCCCTCTGGTAGTGCACTATATAGGGAATAGCATGCCATTTGGGATGCAGTCAGTCTTTCTACTCACTGCACAGACACACTAACTTTAAATGAAATATACTTGTATTGGTCGTGTACACATTTTGCCGATGTTATCGCAGGTGCAGCGAAATGCTTATGTTTCTAGCTCCAACAGTGTAGTAATACCTAACAATACAAAACAATGCACACAAATCCGAAAAAGATAATAATTAAGAAATATCAGAACGAGCCATGTCAGAGTCCAGAATATAAGTATATATGTATATAATGGTGTGTATAGACCGAATGGACAGTATACAGTATGAATAGAAAAGGTGTGTACACAACCCAGAAATACCATAAACAATACAATATTCTAATGTATACAATACACCTCAGGGTACCTTCAGCTCCAGTCCACTGTGACTCAGGAAATAGACCCTATTGGCTAGACACCAGGGGGAATAGATGGAATAACCTATGGCTAACTACAGAATACAAACTCCATCTACAGTATACACCGGGGGAATAGATGGAAGTAGAACTAAATAATACATCCCCTATATTTTACAGCCCAAGTTAATGCCATGAGGGATTAGCTCCTCCTTCAACATCCTGTTTATAATCCGTTCTTCTTCTCTTTTATCAGTTTTACTCCTTTAACGCATTAGCTGGAGAGAGTAGGGACATCCTATCATCTGGCTGAATCCAGATGATGTGTGTGTCTGTTGTGTATCTGTGTGTGTGTGTGTGTGTGTGTGTGTGTGTGTGTGTGTGTGTGTGTGTGTGTGTGTGTGTGTGTGTGTGTGTGTCTCTCTTTGTCTGGGCCTGTGTGTGAGTGTTGAGGCTGGGTCCCTCTTGGCAGCAGGGTGACGAGGGTGACAGATGGAGTTAGTCTGACTCAGAGCTTCATGATGCCAGTGTTTAGCTCAGCTCAGTCTCTCGCTCTCTGACTGGCTGGCTGTGTGTGGACTGACTCCATTACAGACAAAGGTAAGAACCAGCATACATGCATGAGGGAGTTCAGCTCAATCTGGGACCTTCACCTAGTGTTCGTACTCTATACTGTTCCCTACCAGTATAGCTAGCTAGACTCCATGATGCTACCTTCACTGTTAGTGCTGCTGGCTAGTAGACACACCAAACAGAGAGTCTTGTCAGGTAGTAGTTTGCTGGATAGTCTAATAGCTGTGACTCACAGAGGCAGGATCAAAGTCTAACAGCTGGCGATTCTTCTCTCACTGGGCAGATGGGTGTGTTGGTTTCTGACTACCTGTTTAACCTCTGTGATTGGCCAGCAGCTCAATGTGTTATAGACACCAGACAGATGGTTGTTTACCTCAAGCTTTTTGTTTGTTGGTGTGAAATAATGATTATCTCCCCCAGCGTTGTGAATGCGTTTTTCTTGTGTGTGGTTTGGCAGAGCACAGAGCTGGCTGTCTTTTGAATTACTCGCCTCATTAGCAGAGAACTGCACTGCAGAGCTAGCCGGCCAGACATACTGTTAGCTGACATACTGCCACCTTTCCAACAAGTCAGTTCGTCAAATTTCTGCCCTGCTAGAGCTGCTCCGGTCAACTGCAAGTGCTGTTATTGTGAAGTGGATACATCTAGGAGCAACCACAGCTCAGCCGCGAAGTGGTAGGCCACACAAGCTCACAGAATGGGACCGGCGAGTGCTGAAGCCTCATAGCCTGTAAAAATAATCTGTCCTCAGTTGCAACACTCACTACCGAGTTCCAAACTGCCTCTGGAAGCAACGTCAGCACAAGAACTGTTCGTCGGGAGCTTCGTGAAATGGGTTTCCATGGCCGAGCAGCCGCACACAAGCCTTAGATCACCATGCGCAATGCCACGCGTCGGCTGGAGTGGTGTAAAGCTCGCCACCATTGGACTCTGGAGCAGTGGAAACGTGTTCTTTGGAGTGTTGAATCTCGCTTCACCATCTGGCAGTCCGACGGACAAATGTGGATTTGGCGGATGCCAGGAGAGCACTACCTGCCCCAATGCATAGTGCCAACTGTAAAGTTTGGTGGAGGAAGAATAATGGTCTGGGGTTGTTTTTCA